GACCCAGACTCGGGTAATAATTGGGCCGACCAAGGCTTGGTTACCCAGTCTTAGCTCAAGCTTGGGTCGCCAATGAATTGCCAAGGCTAGGTTAGCCAGTCTTGGCCCAAGGTTGGGTAATCATTGGTATGGCCTAGGCTGGGTTAAACAGCCTGGCCCACGCATGGGCCAATACAGGTACGCCGAAGCTAGGTTTCCCAGTACTGACCCAAGCCTGGCCCCTTTGTCAACTCTGGGGGTTTCCTGCATGGGAAGTTGAGGTTGGATAGACAGGCATTGGCCGTCTCTCTGGTATTGAACGCCAAACGCCAAGTGTTTTTGAGACTCGCGACAATGTTGTCAAAGTGTACATTGCTATTTGTCAGCTTGCGAGCTACTTCGATAACTTTGATAGATTTAGTTTTGTCTTGATCACTAATTGTTCTCACGTATACGGCGACAGGACTTTTTTCTTGTCTACCATACCTGATATTATCCGCAATCTTGTTATTTTCCTCCACCACGTTATCAACCTTATCGCGAACATTCTTCTGGGTCTCCTTTTTCTCAGTAGGCCCTTGTTTTAGGTAATTGGTCATCTCCACGTCTTCCAGGATGTTGCTCTTACCCTTTGTCCGAATCGAAAGCATCACTGTTGCTGACTGACTTATGTTTTTTATTGTCAGGTTCGCACCGCTTGCCGGCGTCATTATCACGAGACCGTCCCGGCGACATTTTCCATTCTGAGTATTGTGCAAAACTACAGTTAATCACTCCAAATCTTCTCCCTCTGATAAACTCTCTCATACGGTCCAAATTAACGAGATCGGTGCGCGGGAGGTTTTCGCCTCCCTGACTTTTTCCAACATTGCTTGCCGCCAAGTTGAGATTAAAACGAGTCGTCGGTGTAAAGTTATGCTTATACCCAGAGTTAAGAGTCAGCGAGCTTACCTGGATAACCAGGGAACTGATTACGTGATAAATCTATCGCTGATGATGGTTATGAGTGACTTATACAAGAATTCGTTCAAAAAATCTTATGGAGTCCTAATTTAATTGCAGCTTCAACGTGACAATACCGTCATCTAGCAACAATGATTTTATTACAGTTGTTTTATTGTTGATAATTTAGGTTTTGTTTTATCATCGTTTATCAGCTATCATTGATAAGTTACCTATTGAAGAGTAGAAAAGTTAAATTTTTGCAATCTGTCTTATCTACAATTATTATCTGCAACTTCTCGGCTGCAACCTAGTTAGCACAACTAACATCAAGTTTACGTCAAGGCAATAGTATAACTTCACGTAAACCTAATGATGGAATTGGAAATCAAGTTAACAGTAAAAGTTCATGTTAAATAGTTAACGTAAACTTTTCGTCAACTTTAGTGCAACTCTTGTCAGTACCGTAGGTATGTGGAGATGACTGTCTTACCGATGGAATTTCATAATATCGACAAGAATCACTTTTATTTTACCAACATAATCAGATTAAGAGTTAGATGGCGCCACTGTCAAACTAAAATAAAAAATTTGAAAATACCTGAAATTTTTGATTATCGGTAGGAAATTTTATAAATTAAATTATTTTGCGATTATTTGTTTAGGAACTGAATCTTTAAGTTATTTTATTATAATTATGTTTTATAAATGACATTATTGCTAAAAGTAAATTGTGTTTCTTAATTAGAAATTAAAGTATTAAAATAATTTAATATTGTGCATACCAAAATAATGACTGAATTTTGATTAGATTAAAAAAAAAAAAATTTCGATTCTTCATGAGGTCGATTCCGGGTATTTGTCGACATTATTTCTTGCCACAATCTTCGAGTTCTTGTTCTTTTTTTTGGCTTTTTTTTTTATAGTTGTATCGAAGACTATCATCGTCATCTTCTTCATTAACCTCGTTACTTTTTCTCACTCGAGCATAAGCAGTTCTTAAAGCTTTTAGAACATCCATAGTTTGCTGATTGAAAATATAATTCGAATGATTTTTTAATACAATGGTTGAAATATAAAAAAGTTTGAATTATAAATGGGAAGTTTTGAAAATAATAATATAATTTTTGTGTTAGTTTTAAAAAATGGTTTTTTAAGAAATTATTTCACTTACTGTATAAATCTATATCCAAATTTATGCCTTGTAGTGTGTTAGTCTTCGTCTTGTTTGATTTCAAATAATTGAAATTACCAAGAACCTCATCCTGCGGTGGCGCAAAAAAACAGACTATTTTTTTTTTTTTTAAGTCTCGAGTGAAAAAATGTTAGTTTTTGATCTTTTAAGAGCCCTCACTAAAGGACAGCTCAAGAAAAAATTTTTAAGAGATCACTCC